CCAATAAACGTGGATTTTTAAAAAATAATTTTTTCAAGGTCTTAAATTTTTTTTAAAAGTCATTTTTCTCATAGCCCGGCCAATAAACGTGGATTTGTAAAAAATATTTTTTTCAAGGTCCTAAAATTATTTTTAAAATAAAATTTCCTAAATCCCTGAAGGCCAATAAACGTGGATTTGTAAAAAAATAATTTTTTCCAGGTCCTCAAAGCCTATAAACGCGGATTTGTAAAAAATAGTTTTTCAAGGTCCTAAAAGCCAATTAACGTGGATTTTTAAAAAATATTTGTTTAAGGACCTTACGGCCAATAAACCTCAATTTTTAAAAATATTTTTTTTAACGCCCAAAAGCCAACAAACATCAATTTTTAAAAATATTTTTTTCAAGGACCTAAAAGCCAATAAACGTCATTTTTAAAAATATTCTTCAAGGTCTTGAAAAGCAAAAAACCTGGATTTCTAAAAATATTCGTTTAAGGTTCTCAGAGCCAATAAACTGGCATTTTTTCAAGGTCCTTTAACAATATATTTTAGGATCCTAAAGAGCAATAAATGTGGATTTTAAAAGAATATTTTTTAAGGTCCTGACGATTAATAAACTTTTATTTTTTTACATATTTTTCCAAGAAACCATAATCCGTAGGTTTCAAAAAATGTGGAAGAGGGGGGAACTTATCCGCTCTATTTAGGGGATAAACTTTCAAAACTCTCCTTTACATGTCTTCCATTTTTAGCTTCTATCTGATCTGCTGATTTATTTTTTATGTTGCACGGTGTAGTAGAGTATTTTTAAACGAATTTTTTTAAGGATCCTGAGACAACAAAACATGGATTTGTTAGGATAAATTTTCCAAAAACCCATATACCAATTAACGTAAATTTTTTGAGGAAATTTTTTATGGATCTGCAGGTTAACACAATGCAACATTTTTTAAGATTATATTTTGAGGACCAATAGACCAATTATCCTGGATTTTTAAGGATATTTTCCATGAATCAGCAGACCCAAAAAATTTGGATTTGATATATTTTCTAAAGTCCAGTAGACAAAAGGACGTGGATTTTTAAGAATATTCAAAGGAACGGCAGACCAATAAGAATAATTTTCAAAGACCTATATATATATATATATATATATATATATATATATATATATATATTGTTTTTTTTTTTTTTCAAGGATATTTTTGGAGAGGCTGAAGAAGTCTAAAGTTAGATTTTTAAAGATTTCTCAGGGACTAGAAGAGGACCGCAGGACCAATTAACTTGTCTTGAGAAGAAATATCTTTTCAAGGACCTGTTTGTTATCCGAGAATATTTTTTCAAGATCCTGGGAATTATAAAAATATTTTTCGGCGCAATGCCAGCCAATAAAGGTGGCAGAAGATCTCAAAAAGGTGGATTTTTAATGGATTTTTTTCAAGGACTGGAATAGGAACCCTAAGTATATTTTGTAATAATATTTCCAAGGACCTCCAGGTTATTAAAAAAAAATATTTTTTCAAGGACCTGCCAGCCAATAAAAGTTAATTTTTCACGAATGTTTTCTCGAAGGGCAAAAGACATTAATAAAAAATATACTTTTTCAAGGACCTGCCAGCCAATAAACTTAATTTTATAAAGGATAATTTTATTAGAGGCTCGGAAGTCCTCAAAGAGTCATATTTTTTAAAGGATTCTTTTTTTTTGGAATTATAAATGGACAGACAGACCAATAAAACAGTATTTTGGAGCAATGTTTTCCAAAGACCTGTGGACTATTAAAGGAAGCCAATTAACTTGAACTTTTAAAGGATGATTTTTTTTCGAGGGCCAGAATTCCTCTAAAATTTAAATTCTTAAAGGATTTTTTTCAAAGACTAGAAGAGGACCCTCGTACCAATAAAGTTCCTTTTTTGAGAAATATTTTTTCAAGGATCAGCCAATAAATAAACTCGAATTTTTAAAGAATATTTTTTCGAGGATCAGAATTTCTCAAAAACTCAGATTTTTTAAATAATTTTTTCAAGGACTTGAAGTGAATATTTTTTTCAAGGATCAGCCAATAAATAAACTTGAATTTTTAAAAGTTATTTTTCCGATGATCAGAAGACCTCAAAAAGGCAGATTTTTTAAATAATTTTTTTCACGGACATTTTTTCTAGAAGAAAAGGACCTTGAAAAGATGAATTTTTAAAGGAATTTTTTCTGGGATAAGAAGAGGACACTTAGACCAATAAATCAGTATTTTGATGCAATGTTTTCAAAACACCTGTGGTTTATATTTTATAATATTTTTAATATTTATCGAGGACCTATCAGCCAATTAACTTAAACCTCAAAAAGGCATATTTTTTAAATAATTTTTTTCAAGGACTTGAAGTGAATATTTTTCCAGGAAAAACTAATAAATAAACTTGAATTTTTAAAGGATATTTTTTTCGAGGATCAGAAGACCTCAAAAAGGCAGATTTTTTAAATAATTTTTTTCAAGGACTTGAAGTGAATATTTTTTCCAGGAAAAACTAATAAATTAACTTGAATTTTTAAAGGATATTTTTTTCCGAGGATCAGAATCCCTCAAAAAGGCAGATTTTTTAAATATTTTTTTTTCAAGGACTTGAAAGGGACCTCAAGCCAATATGATTGAATATTTTTCAAGGACCTACGTATATTTAAAAAAATATTTTTTGAAGGACCTGTCAGCCAATTAACTTGATTTTTTAAAGGATAATTTTTTCGAGAGCCAGAATTCCTCAAAATGTTAGATTCTTCAACGATATTTTTCAAAGACTAGAAGAGAACTCCTCATACCAATAAAGTTCCATTTTTGAGGAATATTTTTTCAATGTCTTGTCTATTATTAAAAAAATATTTAAAGCATATTTTTTCAAGGATAAGATAAACTATAATTTTTAAAGAATTTTCAGAAAGGCACATTTTTTAAATAATTTTTTTTCAAGGACTTGAAGTGAATATTTTTTCAAGGATCAGTCAATAAATAAAATTGAATTTTTAAAGGATATTTTTTTCGAGGATCAGAAGACCTCAAAAAGGCAGATTTTTAAAATAATTTTTTTCAAGAATGAAGAGGACATCGCGCCAATAAACCTGTGTTTTGGATGAATATTTTTCAAGAACCTACGTATATTTAAAGGATATTTTTGAAAGGACCTGCTAGTCAAAAAAAATTAATTTATGAAGGATATTTTTTTACAACACCTCCTAAAAAGGCACGTTTTTATAGGTTTTTTCTTTCAAGGAATTGAAGAGGACTATCTCGAAAAGCTGTATTTTGGAGGAATATTTTGAAAGACTTGTGCATTACTAAAGAATATTTTCAAGGACTAATAAACTTAAATTTTTCAAGGATATTTTTTTGAGGAGCAGAGGAAGACCAAGGAAGTTGGATATAAAAAAAAAAATTCAAGGACTTGAAGAGGCTCCCAGAACAATAACTTTTATTCCAGAGGAGTATTTTTCAAGGACCGGCGGGCTATTGAAGAATATGTTTTCAAAGATCAGCCAGAAAATAAAGTCGGATTTTTAAAAGCCAATTGACTTATATTTTTAAAGGATAATTTTTTCGAGGGCCAAGAGTATTTAAGGACTCTGTAGACTTTTAAAGGACTAAAAGATGATCCCCAGATCAATGAAGCTGCATTTTGGAGGACTAATGAACTTGAATTTTTAAAGAATATTTTTTGCGAGAGACAGAATCCTTAAAAAATTTAGATTTTTAGAATATTTTTTTTTCAAGGACTAAAAGGGGACTGTTTTTTTTTGGAAGAATATTTTTCACTGACACAAGTCATGAAATTTTAAGTATATTACTTCGAGGATCTGACTGACTTATATTTTTAAAGGACAATTTTTTGTGGGCCAGAAATCCTCAAATATGTAGACTTTTTAAGGACTACAAGAGGATCTACAAATCAATAAAGCTGTATTTAGGAGGAATATTTTTCAAGGATATATGGATTATGAGAGACTATTTTTTCAAGGACTAATAAATTTGAATTTTTAAAGAATATTTTTTTAAGGACTAAAAGAGGACTTTTTTTGGAAGTATATTTTTCAAGCACACAAGACATGAAATTTTAAGGATATTATTTCGAGGATCTGACTGACTTATATCTTTAAAGGACAATTTTTTGTGGGCCAGAAATTCTCAAATATGTAGACTTTTTAAGGACTAAATTAGGATCCCCAGTTCAATAAAGCTGCATTTTTGGGGGAATATTTTTCAAGGATATGTGGGTTAAGAGAGACTATTTTTTCAAGGACTAATAAACTTGAATTTTTAAAGAATATTTTTTTTAAGGACTAAAAGGGATTTTTTTTGGAAGAATATTTTTCACGCACACAAGAAATGAAATTTTAAGGATATTATTTCGAGGATCTGAAGACTACAAACATAAAGAACTGGCAGACCTCTAGAAAGGATATTTGAAGGACATATTTCCGATGACCAGCAGACCACAAAACATGGATACCAGCAGACCACTAAAAGGGATATTTGAAGGATTTTTTTTGAAGACCAGCAGACCCCAAAACGTATATTTTTAAGCAAACCACAAAAACCTGGATTCTAAAGTATATTTTTGAAGGACCAAGCTATTTTTTAAATAACACATTTTTAATGTTCTGAAGTTAGAAAAATGAATATTTGGCCTAGAAAGGATATTTGAAGGACATATTTCCGATGACTAGCAGACCACAAAACATGGATATCAGCAAACCATTAAAAGAGATATTTGAAGAATATTTTTTTCGAAAACCAGCAGACCAGACCTGAAGTTAGAAAAATTAATATTTGGCCTTGATTCTCCCATTATTATAAGGAAGTGATATTAGATTGGCAATAAAATTATTTATTTTTTCCACTTTTTTTCAGAAAATTTTCCTCCTCTCAATTTCAAGTGTTTTACAAGTTGTAATTGCTTGTATTTTGTTTTTCAGTTCAAGTGGCCACAATTTTATCAGCTTCTCATTTCATGATGGTGAAACAAACAACACAATTTTTTTTTATTTTCCGACAATATATTTACTTCCACTCTTATAAAATATTACTTATATTAAATATGAGAATATTCCAATAATTAAACTGTTATGCCCTCCAGAAACATGGGCAGTCGCTGTTTCTTCAGCACCCGCAGTTTTTGCGGTTGTTTGGGACAGCGACACTCTTGGGGCTTGCACTGACACTTTTTCTTCTTGGCAATTGTGTGCTGGAGAATTTGTTCTGAAAATTATTAAATTTAAATTAATAATTAATTATTTCTTTTATGTGGGAATATTAAAAAAAATAAATGAATAAAAAATAAATATAAATAAATAAAATAAAAAATAATAATAAAAAATAAAATAAAAATAATATAATAAAAATAATAAAATAAAAAATATATATAATAAATAAATAATAAATATAAAAATAAAAAAATATAATAAAATATATTAAATAATAAAATAATAAAAATAACAAAATAATAATAATAATAAACTAATATTTCAAACTCACTATTTTTCAACACTTGATTGGGGTTGGGCAGAGATTTTAGCACTTTTTTGAACATTTTTATGGCGAATTGAGAATTTTCGTTCTTAGTCGTATGGAGTTTGAAAATATTCTGTTCTGTGGGAACTGGGGTGGGCAGCTTGTTAACGAATTTGAAAATAATTCAAAAGTTTATTTTAGTTTTTTTTTCTGTTTTTTTTTTTTTTTTTTTGAAATATGAAGCAACATAAACCACATTTCAAATGATAGCCGGTGGTTTGGTTAAGAAATGGTTTCTAGCTCCAAAGGTTCTAGAAATATTCAAAAAACAAAAAAAAAAATTATATGAAAATTTGTTCGCCATAATCAGCTTGAGAACTTTTTGTTTTCAAAGACAAATTAAAGTTTTGAATACTTTCAAAAAAATCTACCTTTCAGATATATTTTCTTGGTAGGAAATATGTATTCTTTAGAAAAGAATAATAGGCAAATGTTTACCTTTTACACCAAAAAAAAATCTCCGAAATCTTTCATTTTGAAGTTTACCGAGGAGGATATAAGTAAAGCCATTGGAAAATGGACCCACATCCAATTTTTCTATCCGAAACTAGGCTAAACGGCTTCATATGAAAACCATAGAAGCCAAGAGTGACCTAAAAATCGGCCGAAAATGTTTACCTTCGATTGGCCACCAGAACTCAAGCGCTGGCCATGGTGATGGTGTGCGCCGCCATAACAGCTGATGGTTGCTCTCCGTTCGTATTAATCGACTGTGGGATCTGAATAAATGCCGATCGCGAAAATAGCGAAAATATCCTGGAGGATGTATAAAAGCCTTGGGCACGCAAACATTTTGGAAACAGGACTCAGTACCAAAATGAGGTTCCTCGCTTCATTTCCAACGCACAATGGCCAACAAAATCTCCGGATACCAATCCGTTGGACTATTGAGTCTGGAGTATTTTTGGAAAGCAAGGTTGGCACTAAAAAATACCAAAGTGTCGATCAGCTCAAGCAAGCGCTTCGCCGGGAATGTGCCAAAATACCGCAGAGCAACATTCGGGCAGCGTGTGACGGTGACGATTTCATTGGCCGTTTGAAGGCCATAATTTGTGCCAAAGGTGATCAATTCGAACAAATCTAAAGTTATTCTAAAATTTGATGCTATTTCCGAATTTTTTCTGCTGTCATTTAATTAAATTAATTAATTTTAATTTTTTTATCTCACCCTGTATATGAGGTATTTCCAAAAAAATCATCCATATCTCAATTTCAACTATCAACAGAGACCTAAATATAAAATGTGAGAATTCCCGGCCAATACCTTCACCTGATACCAAAATTTCGTACCATTTAGTACTTTTCGTATAATTTTAGTACTCATTTGCAAAATTCCTCCATATCTCACTTCTAGTTATCAATGGAGACCTCATATTTTAAATCCAGATGTCGACAGAGGCCTAAATGTCAAATTTCTGGATTCCAGCTCCATCCCATCACCCAATAACCGATTTAGTACCAATAAGTACTTTTCGTACAAATATAGGACGCATTTGTAAAAAAAAACTTCAATTCTTAACCGCAGACACCAACAGTGACATCTGTATCAATTTTCAGGATTTAAGCTCTAATACTTCACCAAATATCAAATTTAGTACCATTTAGTAATTTTTGTATAATTTTAGTACTCATTTGCAAAACCCCTCCATATCTCAATTCCAGTTATCAATAGAGACTTCAATATCAAATTTCAGGATTCCAGCTCTATCCATTCACCAAACACCAAATTTAGTACTATTTAGTGCTTTTTGTACAAATATAGTACGGATTTGCAAATTCACCCTTATATTTCAATTCCAGATGTAGACAGAGGCCTAAATATCAAAATACAGGATTTTAGCCCTTTTCCTTCACCAAATACTAAATTTAGTACCATTTGGTACTTTTCGGTCAAATATAGGACGTATTTCCAACCCAATTCCATATCTCATTCCCAGAGACCTCAAGATCAAATTTCGGGATTCCAGCTTTATCCCATCACCCAATACCCGATTTAGTACCATTAAGTACTTTTCGTACAAATATAGGACGAATTTCCAAAACCATCTCCATATCTTAACCACAGACACCAACAGTGACATCTATACCAAGTTCCAAGATTTCACCCTCTAAGCCTTCACCAAATACCAAATTTAGTACCATTTAGCACTTTTCGTATAATTATAGTACTCATTTGCAAAACATCTCCATATCTCAATTCCAGTTATAAACAGAGTCCTAAATACCAAATTTCAGGATTTTAGCCCTATCCCTTCACCAAATACTAAATTTAGTACTATTTAGTACTTTTTACACAAATATAGTACGGATTTGCAAAACCACGCTCATATTTAAATTCCAGATGTCGACAGAGGCCTAAATATCAAATTTCAGGATTTTAGCCCTATCCCTTCACCAAATACTAAATTTTGTACCATTTAGTACTTTTCGTACAAATATAGGACGCATTCCAAAACTGCCTCCAAATCTCATTTCGAAATATCAACAGAGACCTCGATATCAATTTTGAGGATCATAGCTCGCTATCCCTTCACTAAATACCCGATTTAGTACTATTTAGTACTTTTCGTATAATTTTAGTACTCATTTCCCAAACCCCTCTATATCTCAATTCCAGTTATAAACAGAGACCTCAATATCAAACTTGAGGATTCCAGCCATATCCTTTCACCCGATACCAAAATTTAGTACCATTTAGTACTTTTCGTACAATTTTAGTACTCATTTCCAAAAACACCTCCAAATCTCAATCTCAGACACCAACAGAGACCTAAATACCAAATTGCGGGATTCAAGCTCTATCTCTTCATCCAATACCCAATTTAGTACCTTTTTGTACTTTTCGAACAATTATAGTATATATTTCAAAACCACCGCAAAATATCAACACCAGATACCAATAAAGACTTCAATAACAAATTTGAAGATTCCCGCTCTGTCTCTTAACCAAATACCAAAATCTAGTACCATTTAGTACATTTCGTACAAATAAAGGACACATTTCCAAATCACCGTCAAATCTCACACACCGCTACCATCAGTAATCTCAATTATAAATTTCAGAATTTTATCTCTATTCCTTCATCGAATACCAAGTTTAGTACCATTCAGTACTTTTCGTACAATTGTAGTACACATTGTCGAAACCACCTCCATATGTTTAGACTGCACATAAATAACGACCCTAATATCAAAGTTCAGATTTCAAACACTATATTTTTGCCCAAAACCAAATTGTACCCTATAAAGTACTATTTAGTACTTTTTGTGCACTTCTAGTATACATATCAAAAATTACCTCATTATCACAAACCTACCCCCAACAGAGGCATAAATATCAAATTTGAAGAATCCAGCCCTATCCTTTCACCCCATACCGAAATTTAGTACTATAAAGTACTTTTCGTACTATTAAAGTACACATTTCCAAAATCACATCCATCTCAATACCAGATACCGACAGGGGCCTAAATATGAAATTTCGGGATTCCAGCTCTATCCCTCTTTCCAATACTCAATTTAGTACCATTTAGTACATTTCTTATAATTTTAGTACTTATTTGTAAAACCGTTCCATAACTCAATTTCAGATACCAACAGAGACCTCAATAACAAATTTGAGAATTCCAGTCCTCTCCCTTGACACAATACCAAATTTAGTACCATAAAGTACTTTTCGTACAAATGTAGTACACATTGCCGAAACCACCTTCATATGTCCAGGCTACACATGAGGAGCGACCCTTACCACCAAATTTCAGATTTCAAGCACCAGAAAGAGACCTTAATATCAAATTTGAAAATTCCAGACCTATCCCTTCATTCAATACCCAATTTAGTACTGTTTAGTACTGTTCGTACAAATAAAGAACACATTTCCAAACCAACGCCAAATTTCAAACACCGATACCATCAGTAATCTAAATATACATTTTCAGTATTTTATCTCTATCCTTGCTCTTATTACTAAATTTAGTACCATTCAGTACTTTTCGTACAATTGTAGTACACATTGTCGAAACCACCTCCATATGTTTAGGCTGGCTTAGGTTTACGCTCTAATATTAATGTTCAGATTTCGAACACTATCTTTTTGCCCAAAAGCATATTGTACCAAATATCGTACTATTTTGTACTATTCGTAAATTATAGTAAACCTTGCCGAAACCACCTCAAATATGTCCAGGCTACACATGAACACACCGACCCTAATAACAAATTTCAGATTTCAAGCACCAGAGAGAGAGAGAGAGAGAGACGTCAATATCAAATTTGAAGATTCCAGCCCTATCCCTTCACCCAATACCAAATTTAGTACCATTTAGTACTTTTTGCTTAATTTTGCATTAATTTTCAAATACAGATGCCACCAGTTATTTAAATATCAATTTTGGAATTTTTTTCTCTAACCCCTCACCCAATATCAAATTGTACCAAATATAGTACTATTTAGTACTTTTTGTACACTTTTTTTTAAACATTTCCAAAACCACCTCTTTATTACACACCTACCACCAACAGGGACCTAAAAATACAATTTTTTCCAAATTCCAATTTCCCCCGGTTGACCCTAAACCAATCTGATCCAAATTTAGTACCATTTAGTACAAGTTCGCACACTTAGTACACATATCCGAAACAATCTTCATAAATCAAACTTACTTTCCAGACTTGATTCTCAAAGCAAATTTCCAATTTTTAACTCTGTCCATTCACATGATATCAAATGGTACCCTTTTAAGAAATTTAGTACAATATTATTACTTTTCATAACCTTAAAGTACGAATTTCTAAAAAAAAAACATTTGGTATATCTTTTCTGCCCTCCATCCCCTCTCATTCCAAATTTCAAAATTCTAGCTCATTCCAACATAAAGTATTCAATTTTTAGTACATTTTGGTACTTTTCGTACCCTTTTAGTACGAATTCTTTAAAAACACAGCCTTATCACACGCCTACGCACCAACACTGGCCCTTTTGCAAAATTTCTCGATTTCTTTAAAATTCGATTAATTTTTTAATTTTTTTTTTTCTCAAAGAGTAATAATTTATTCGGCGCGTACTGTATTTGCCTCACAGTAATGGTGATTTTGACCTCCTCATTTAGAGCGATAACAATAAAAGCGAAAGTGCGAACAAAACAAAACAAAAATATGCAAATTATTGATTTTTCTTTTTGCGTTATCATCGAATAATCGAGAGCACAAGAGAGTGTGAGAGTGAGAGAGTGAGAGAGAGAGATACCGGTTGATCACCAAATCATTTTGCTGTTGTCGCAAAAAGAAGAGACCATTTTCTTTTTTGGCCACTTTTGCTTTCTTAGTTGACAGTGAGCTCTTGAAAAGTAAACAATTGTGCGGAGGCTAAGAAGAAACGTTTCATAATCTGTAGAAATACCCCGCCCCCTCATTTTCACTTCAATTTGTGGGACAAAGCAAAGAAACCACAGCGGGCCGAAGCAATCGAAGCCACACAAGAAACATAAAAACAAACAAAGAAATTTAGCTGCGTCAACGCCTACGCCAACGTCGTCGTTGCTGCTGCCGCCGCCACCACTGCGATGTGGTTACAAACATTTTTCATTGCATGCCTGGCCTCTGTGATAGGGGCTGGCGTCTTTCCAAACTATCATGCCCATTTCGACTTTGTGCAGTGGGACAAAGAGAAGACACTGGACGAATATGAGGCCGCACAGAAATGGTGGCAAACGGCCTCATTTTATCAAATCTATCCAAGGTCATTCAAAGACAGCAACGGCGATGGAGTGGGTGATTTGAAAGGTGAGACATATGGAATTCTTGATTGAAGTTTAGATTTAATTCCCTCTCCCCGCTCCTTAGGCATTACCCAGCAACTGGGCTATCTCAAGGAGATTGGCATTACTGCCACCTGGCTCTCACCCATCTTCCAGTCGCCCATGGCCGATTTTGGCTATGATATTTCGAATTTCTTTCAAATCGATCCTCTCTTCGGCACCATGCAAGATTTTGAGAATCTCATGCAGGAGGCCCAACGTTTGGGTTTGAAAATCATTTTAGATTTTGTGCCGAACCACACAAGCGATGAATGTGAATGGTTCCAGAAATCGGTGAAACGCGACCCTTACTACAAGGATTTCTATGTCTGGCATCCGGGTAAAATCATTGATGGGGTACGTCATCCTCCCTCGAATTGGGTGAGTGTATTCCGCGGCTCGGCCTGGGAATGGAACGAGGAACGCCAAGAATACTATCTACATCAGTTTGTGAAGAAACAACCCGATTTGAATTATCGCAACCCCCTGGTGAGATCAACCATGAAAATGGTACTGCAGTATTGGTTGGAAAAGGGTGTAGCTGGGTTCAGAGTCGATGCTGTACCTCATATGCTGGAGAAGGCTCCGGATGCGGCCGGCAATTGGCCCGATGAGCCTCGCAATCCCTATGTCAATGATCCCGATGATTATGGTTATCTGCAGCATATCTACACCGTCAATCAGCCAGAGACCATTGATATGGTCTATGAATTCCGTAAGGTCTTGGATGATTTCAAGGTCCAGCATGGAGGGGATGAGCGCATCCTGATGACTGAGAGTTATTCGCCGCTGGACATTGTCATGAAGTATTATGGCAATGGAACTGCAGAGGGAGCCCAGATTCCATTCAATTTTTTGATAATTGAGGAATTGGGTAATAACTCGAATGCCTTTAATTATGCAGAGACCATAAATAAGTGGTTGGGCAGTATGCCCCAGGGGAGGACGGCCAATTGGGTGGTGAGTAAAAATTTGGACTTTAAACAAAATATTTTCTTTTCAATGGAATTTTTTAAAAAAATATTTTTTGAACATCTATGGTCACATACTGTTCTGAATAAAGGCTCAGAGATCTAATGCTAACGTTAATACAACCTCAGAGGACTTATACTGGCCATTGTAAGAACTCAGTGAGCTGTTCTGGCTCTTATAAGAGCTTAGAGTTCTTATATTTGCCTTTATAAGACCTCAGAGGTCTTATACTGGCATTTATAAAACCTCAGAGGTCTTATACAGGTATTTATAATGCCTCAGACCTCAGAGGTGTAATAGTGGCCTCTATAAGGCCTCAGACGTCTTATACTGACCTCTATAAGACCTCAGACGTCTTATACTGGCCTCTATAAGATCTCAGAGGTCTTAAACTGGCCTCTATAAGACCTCAGAGGTCTTATAATGGCCTTTATAAGACCTCAGAGGTCTTATAATGGCCTCTATAAGACCTCAGAGGTCTTATAATGGCCTCTATAAGACCTCAGAGGTCTTATAATGGCCTCTATAAGACCTCAGAGGTCTTATAATGGCCTCTATAAGACCTCAGAGGTCTTATACTGGCCTCTATAAGACCTCAGAGGTCTTATACTGGCCTCTATAAGACCTCAGAGGTCTTATGCTGGTCTCTATAAGACCTCAGAGGTCTTGTACTGGCCTCTATAAGACCTCAGAGGACTTATGCTGGCCTCTATAAGACCTCAGAGGTCTTATACTGGCCTCTATAAGACCTCAGAGGTCTTATACTGGCCTCTATAAGACCTCAGAGGTCTTATACTGGCCTCTATAAGACCTCAGAGGTCTTATGCTGGTCTCTATAAGACCTCAGAGGTCTTGTACTGGCCTCTATAAGACCTCAGAGGACTTATGCTGGCCTCTATAAGACCTCAGAGGTCTTATACTGGCCTCTATAAGACCTCAGAGGTCTTATACTGGCCTCTATAAGACCTCAGAGGTCTTATAATGGCCTCTATAAGACCTCAGAGGTCTTATACTGGCCTCTATAAGACCTCAGAGGTCTTATAATGGCCTCTATAAGACCTCAGAGGTCTTATGCTGGCCTCTATAAGACCTCAGAGGTCTTATACTGGCCTCTATAAGACCGCAGAGGTCTTATGCTGGCCTCTATAAGACCGCAGAGGTTTTATGCTGGCCTCTATAAGACCTCAGAGGTCTAATGCTGGCCTCTATAAGACCTCAGAGGTCTTATACTGGCCTCTATAAGACCTCAGAGGTCTTATACTGGCCTCTATAAGACCTCAGAGGTCTTATACTGGCCTCTATAAGACCTCAGAGGTCTTATAATGGCCTTTATAAGACCTCAGAGGTCTTATAATGGCCTCTATAAGACCTCAGAGGTCTTATAATGGCCTCTATAAGACCTCAGAGGTCTTAGAATGGCCTCTATAAGACCTCAGAGGTCTTATACTGGCCTCTATAAGACCTCAGAGGTCTTAAACTGGCCTCTATAAGACCTCAGAGGTCTTATAATGGCCTTTATAAGACCTCAGAGGTCTTATGCTGGTCTCTATAAGACCTCAGAGGTCTTGTACTGGCCCCTATAAGACCTCAGAGGTCTTATAATGGCCTCTATAAGACCTCAGAGGTCTTATAATGGCCTCTATAAGACCTCAGAGGTCTTATACTGGCCTCTATAAGACCTCAGACGTCTTATACTGGCCTCTATAAGATCTCAGAGGTCTTAAACTGGCCTCTATAATACCTCAGAGGTCTTATAATGGCCTTTATAAGACCTCAGAGGTCTTATAATGGCCTCTATAAGACCTCAGAGGTCTTATAATGGCCTCTATAAGACCTCAGAGGTCTTATACTGGCCTCTATAAGACCTCAGAGGTCTTATAATGGCCTCTATAAGACCTCAGAGGTCTTATACTGGCCTCTATAGGACCTCAGAGGTCTTATACTGGCCTCTATAAGACCTCAGAGGTCTTGTACTGACCTCTATAAGACCTCAGAGGTCTTATACTGGCCTCTATAAGACCTCAGAGGTCTTATACTGGCCTCTATAAGACCTCAGAGGTCTTATACTGGCCTCTATAAGACCTCAGAGGTCTTATACTGGCCTCTATAAGACCTCAGAGGTCTTGTACTGACCTCTATAAGACCTCAGAGGTCTTATACTGGCCTCTATAAGACCTCAGAGGTCTTATACTGGCCTCTATAAGACCTCAGAGGTCTTATACTGGCCTCTATAAGACCTCAGAGGTCTTGTACTGACCTCTATAAGACCTCAGAGGTCTTATACTGGCCTCTATAAGACCTCAGAGGTCTTGTACTGACCTCTATAAGACCTCAGAGGTCTTATACTGGCCTCTATAAGACCTCAGAGGTCTTATACTGGCCTCTATAAGACCTCAGAGGTCTTATACTGGCCTCTATAAGACCTCAGAGGTCTTATACTGGCCTCTGTAAGACCTCAGAGGTCTTATACTGGCCTCTATAAGACCTCAGAGGTCTTGTACAGACCTCTATAAGACCTCAGAGGTCTTATACTGGCCTCTATAAGACCTCAGAGATCTTATACTGGCCTCTATAAGACCTCAGAGGTCTTATACTGGCCTCTATAAGACCTCAGAGGTCTTATACTGGCCTCTATAAGACCTCAGAGGTCTTATACTGGCCTCTATAAGACCTCAGAGGTCTTGTACTGACCTCTATAAGACCTCAGAGGTCTTATACTGGCCTCTATAAGACCTCAGAGGTCTTGTACTGACCTCTATAAGACCTCAGAGGTCTTATACTGGCCTCTATAAGACCTCAGAGGTCTTATACTGGCCTCTATAAGACCTCAGAGGTCTTATACTGGCCTCTATAAGACCTCAGAGGTCTTGTACTGACCTCTATAAGACCTCAGAGGTCTTATACTGGCCTCTATAAGACCTCAGAGGTCTTATACTGGCCTCTATAAGACCTCAGAGGTCTTATACTGGCCTCTATAAGACCTCAGAGGTCTTGTACTGACCTCTATAAGACCTCAGAGGTCTTATACTGGCCTCTATAAGACCTCAGAGGTCTAGTACTGACCTCTATAAGACCTCAGAGGTCTTATACTGGCCTCTATAAGACCTCAGAGGTCTTATACTGGCCTCTATAAGACCTCAGAGGTCTTATACTGGCCTCTATAAGACCTCAGAGGTCTTATACTGGCCTCTGTAAGACCTCAGAGGTCTTATACTGGCCTCTATAAGACCTCTGAGGTCTTGTACAGACCTCTATAAGACCTCAGAGGTCTTATACTGGCCTCTATAAGACCTCAGAGGTCTTATACTGGCCTCTATAAGACCTCAGAGGTCTTATACTGGCCTCTATAAGACCTCAGATGTCTTATACTGGCCTCTATAAGACCTCAGAGGTCTTGTACAGACCTCTATAAGACCTCAGAGGTCTTATACTGGCCTCTATAAGACCTCAGAGGTCTTATACTGGCCTCTATAAGACCTCAGAGGTCTTATACTGGCCTTTCTAAGACCATTAAGATCGTATAAGGGTCAGTATAACCCCTCTAAAACAATTCTCCTTTACAGCTTGGTAACCACGACAAAAGCCGCGTTGGCTCACGCCTCGGTGCCGATCGCATGGACATGATGAACATGTTGACCTTTACGCTGCCCGGTTGCAGTGTCACCTACAATGGCGAAGAGATTGGCATGACGGATGTTTGGATATCATGGAATGACACCGTGGATCCTTCAGCCTGTAATTCAAATCCTGACATTTATGAATCTCTCTCCCGTGATCCCGAGCGAACACCGTTCCAGTGGAATGATGGTCCAATGGCAGGATTTTCCAAAGCCAACAAGTCATGGCTGCCCATTTCGCCATTGTACAAGGACGTCAATGTGGAAAAGGAGCGTCAAAGTCCTTTGAGTCATTTGAATATTTTTAAGGAGTTGCAGCAATTGCGACAAGAGCCAACCATGAAATATGGTCAAGCGGAGGTGAAGGCTTTGAAGCAAAATGTTCTGGGGGTGAAGAGGTGAGGAAAGAAAGTCGAACTAAAGAAGGGGTATTTTCTATGGGGATATGGATTTTCTTTAAAAAAATTGAGGGCTCAAGAATTCGGATCTTCTTCTAGAGAAAAATGTGTGGTCCGGAAGATTTTTCAACTCAACATAGATTTTTTTTGAGAAAAAAATATTTTTGTGTTTTCGAAAAATATATTTTTTTCAGATACCTCTTGAAGGACTATACCTATGTAACCCTCCTGAATATTTTCAATGAGGTGGAGAGCTTCAATTTACAGCAGGCCTTTTCCAATATTCCCGATGAAATGGTGTACCATTTGGTGACGGAAAAATCGAAGGCCAAGAAGGGGTAAGTGGAATTTTTTTCAAAGTTGATTTCCGTAGTCAATTTCTTAATTCTCCTCTACAGCGATCGCGTCAAGTCCTCTTCCATTACTCTGCAACCCAAGGAGGCGGTGATCTTGAAATCCCCCAGCAAACTCTCCACCACAGCTGGTTATTATCTCTACTATACCCGTGAAGAAGAACCTCAACATTAAGTGTTAGAAAGTTAAACGAATATTTGTTCTCAGTGCCAAGCACAGATTTATTTTTTGTAAAATTTTAAAAATAAAACATTTTGTTATTTTTTTTCTTTTTTGTAAAAATTTTAATTTTTTTCTTTCTCAGAAATTGTTTTTAAATTCAATCGGATTCTACAATAATGGCCTCATAGCCATTCAAATCGAAATTGTCCAAGGCCACCACATCGCTGGAAATAAATAAATTAAAATAATTTTTTAAAAAATTGAAAATTTAAATCAAAACCTACCCAGCCTTCCTGGTCGATATGATATTGGCAATTTTGGTTTTATAGCTTCCCGAGGCCTTGATGACATCCACGACATTGGCCTTTTGGGCCTTATCCAATACATTGGCCAAGAGAATGTAGGTTTTCTCATTGGGCAGGGATCTGCAAGGAGAGAATTAAAAAAAAATGTTTTTCATTGTTTCAAAAAACTTTGGATTTAAAAAATAAATTTTTTTCATAATTGCGATAAACGTGGACTTTTTTTTAAAAATATTTCTTTCCAAGATTGCAATAAACCTGGATTTTTAAAAATATTTTTTTCAAGATTTTAATAAATGGGGATTTTTTAAAAATATTTTTTTAAAGATTTCAATAAATTGGGATTTTTGAAAAATTTTTTCTATGATTTAAATAAACGTGAATTTTTAAAAAAAAATATTTTTGAAAACTTCAATTTATGGAGATTTTTTAAAATATTTTTTTAAAAATTATTTCCATGAATAAAATAAACGTGAATTTTTCAAAAATATTTTTTTCAGGAATTCAATAAAGTTAGATTTAAAAAAAAAACTTTCCAATGTTGCAATAAGTGTGGATGTTTTTTTAAAAGTATTTTTTCCAAATTTCAAAAAACGTGGATTTTTTAAAAAATATTTTTTTAATGTTGCTATTAGTGTGGATGTTTTTTTAAAAGTATTTTTTCCGGATTTCAATAAGTGTGGATTTTATAAAAAATATTTTTTCCAGATTTCAATGAACCTGTATTTTTAAAAAAAAAATTTTTTCCAGATTTCAATAAACGTAGACTTTAAAAAAATATTCTTCCAATGGTGCAATAAACGTGCATTTTTAAAAAAATATATTTTTCTAATGTTGCAATGAACGTGGATTTTTAAAAAAATATTTTTAAATGAAAAAATATATTTTTTTTTAAATTTAAAAAAAGATTTTTTTATATTGAAATTAAGGTCGATTTAAAAAAAAATTGTTCCTCAATAAAAATATATATTTTTTCCAAGATTTCAGTAAACGTTATTTTTTTAAATGTTTTTAAATTTTTATAAAGTATTGTATTCCGGATTTTAATAAACGAGGAATTTAAAAAAGTTATTTCTTCAATTTTTATAATTTTCTTACGAGATTTCAACAAACTTTGATTTTTGAAAAATATTTTTAAAATTTTTAAAAACTATTTGTTTTGAGGTTTTATTAAACGCGGAATTTTGCACAATGTTTCTTGAATGTTTAAAAAAAGGGTTTTTCGCGATTTTAACAAAAGTAGATTTTTTTTAAAATATTTGTTTGAAAATTAAATAGGATTGGATTTTTATTATTTTTTTTTTTTGAAAAACCAAATTAAGGGGGATTTTTTAATTTTTGAAAAGCTAACAAACGTGGATTTTTTTTAAATATTTTTTTTTTGAAAAACCAACCAATGTGGATTTTTTAAAAATATTTTTTTTGATTAGCCAAAAAACGTGGATTTTTTTAAAATAATTTTTTTGAATAACCTACAAACGCGGATTTTTTAAAAATAATTTTTTGAAAAACCAAATTAAGACGGATTTTTTAAAAATTATTTTTGAAGTACCCAAAAAAGCGTGGATTTTTTAAAAAATATTTTTTGAAGTACCCAAAAAAGCGTGGATTTTAAAAAAAATAATTTTGAAGTACCAAAAAAGCCTGGAATTAAAAAAAAATTTTTTTGAAGTACCAAAAAAAGCGTGGATTTAAATTTTTTTTAAGTACCCAAAAAAAGCGGGGATTTTTAAAAATATATATTTTTTAAATATAAATATATATTTTTTAAAGGCGTGGATTTTTTAAAAAATATATTTTTTGAGAACCAAAAGCGTGGATTTTTTAAAAAATATTATTTTAAATACCCAAAAAAGCGTGGACTTTTAAAAAAATATTTTTTTAATACCCAAAAAAACGTGGATTTTAGTATCCAAATATTTTTTTAAAGACTCAATAAGCCTATAATATTTAAAAAATATTTTTGAAGGACTCAGTAAGCCTAGAATTTTTTTTAAATATATATCTTAAGGATTCAATAGGCACAGACTTTTTAAATAAATTTTTGTTAAGGACTCAATAACTTAAGTTCTTCCGAAAGTTTTAATAAATGTAGACTCTTTTTTTAAATATTTTTTTCGAAATTTTAATATACGCTTTTTGTTTTTAATATTTTTAGGATTTTTCAGATTTTTAAAAAATATTTTTTTAAATTAAAAAAATATATACATATTTTTTCAAAATTTCAATAAAAAAAGTTTTCAATTTTTTTAAAAGACATTTTTAAGCTTCCAATGAATTCTTTTAAAATATGATTTTTTTTTAACTTTTTCCAAACGTGGATTAAAAAAACAATTTTCCAAACGTGGACTTTTTAAAAAAATATTTTTCAAAACGTGTACTTTTTTAAAAAATGCTTTCACAAACATAAACTTTTTAAAAAATATTATAAAAATATTAAAAAATATATGCCGTTTTTTTTTTGTTGCCAAATAGTTAGGCTTAATCCCTTTATTGTCGTTTTTAAAAAATAATAAACAAATGTTGTTTTTATAAAAACAAAATAAATGGGATTAGGTCTAACTATTTCGCAACAACAAAATTAAAAAAAAAATTTAAGCCTTCAATATTATTTTTTAAAAATATTTTACTAAACGTGGACTATTTAAAAGTGTTTTTAATATTTTAAATTTAAAAAAAATATATAATTTCTAAATTTGAAAATATATTTCTTATTGTTTTTTAAGCTTTCAATAAACGTGGATTTTTTATTATTTTTCCAAATGTGGATTTTTTTAAAAATATTTTTAGATTTTTTTCAAAAATGTTTTTTATAGAACGTGGATCTTTTTTAATATTTTTCCAAATTTGGATTTTTCTAAAAATATTTTTAGAATTTTTCAAATATGTTTTTTATAGAACGTGGATTTTTTTAAATATTTTTCCAAACGTGGACATTTTTTTAAATATTTTTAAAATTTCAATAATTCAAGCTTTCAATAAACGTGGATTTTTTTAAATACTTTTTCAAATTTGAGCTTTTTTTAAATATTTTTTTCAAACGTGAGCTTTTTTAAATATTTTTAAAATTTTTCAAAAATATTTTCTAATTTTTCAAAAATATTTTCTAATTTTTTAGAAATATTTGTTATAGTTTTTTAAGCTTTCAAAAAACATGGCTTTTTTTCCAAAATATTTTTTTTTTCAAAAATATTTTCTAAATTTTTAAAAATTATTTTTTTAATATTTTTCCAAATTTGGATTTTTTTTAAAGAAAAATATATATTTTTTTAATTTTTCCTCCCCACTCACCTCTTAACAGCCAAAATATTATCCCCAACATTGCCATACTGCAACCCACCATACTGCAGTGTCTTCGTCTGACGCAGCTGGGACATTTGTTTGTAGACATTCAAATGACTTTTGCTGGCCGCCTTTTCTGTCTCAACATTGACAGTCTTGTAATTGGGATTGATGGGCAACCAGGTGGCGCTGTTGTTGGAAAAGCCAGCATTATCCGCCGAACTCCATTGGAAGGGTGTGCGGGCGGGATCACGTGTAAATTGCTTATAATTATCCGGACTGGCATTACACGCGGCCGGGTCAACACTGTCATCATAGGAGATCTCCAAGTCGACCATGCCCAATTCTTCACCCTGAAAGGAGGCGGGAAAAGAGAGAGAGATAGGGAGAGAGAGTTTTTGGAAATGAAGTCTTGGAGAGAAAACAATTTTGGTATATCTCCAGCTTACCATGTAGGTGACACTGACTCCTGGCAGGAACATTTGCAGCATGTTCATGAGATCAATTCGGTTTTCACCATAACGGCTGCCCACACGACGCTTGTCATGGTTGCCCATCTGTAATGGGAACAGGGGCTCTGTATAGCTTTCAGTTTTTATCGAATTTTTCTTTTTTTTTTTGGATGAAAATGAGGTTCGACGTTTACTTACCACCCAATTGGCCGTCTTGCCCGACGGCATATTATCCATCCATTTCTTGATGATCTTCGTAAATCCTCCCGCCGGCAAGTCGGTGTTGTTTTGATTATCATTCCCAGCACTGATGAATTGGAAATTGAAGGGTATTTGGGCGCCATTCACAGTCTTGTTGCCATACATTTTCATCACCTGGTCAATGCTGGACCAGGTTTCAATCATCAAAACCCTGGTGTCGCCACCATGGACCCTTTGATAATCCTCCAAAAGCTGATGCCATTGATAGACCATATCAATGGTTTCCGGTTGATCCTGCGTATAGATGTGCTTTAGATAGGCCGAGTCTTCGGGATCACTGGTATAACCCGACAAGGGTTCATCCGGATAACGGCCATTTTCATCGGGCAGAACCTCAAACATCCAGGGTACGGCATCAATGCGGAAACCAGCCACACCACGATCCAGCCAATAGGTGAGGACCCGTTTCATTTGGGCCACCACATCGGGGTTACGATAATTCAGATCAGGTTGTTTCACCGCAAATTGATGCAGATAGTATTGCTGTCTCTTTTCATTCCATTCCCAGGCACTACCCCGAAAGGCCTGCAACCAATTACTGGGTGGCTTCCTTTGCCCGTTTTCATCCACATAGCCATCATGCCAGACATAGTAATCCTCATAGCCCTTCTCCCGATTCACCGATTTCTGGAACCACACATTCTCATCACTCGAATGATTCGGCACAAAATCCATAATTATTTTCAGACCCAATTTATTGGCCTCCTTGATGAGTTCATCGAAATCCTCCAGGCTACCATATTCCGGTTGGATGTCAAAGAAATTGGCAATGTCATAACCAAAATCGGCCATAGGCGAGACATAGATGGGCGAAAGCCAGGTGGCATTTACCCCAATCTCCTTCAAATAGCTGAGTTTGGAAATAATACCCTTCAAGTCACCAATGCCATCACCATTGGAGTCCTTAAAGGATCTGGGGTAAATTTGGTAGAATTGCGACACCTGCCACCAGTCCTTGCTGGCCAAGGTATTATCCGTTACACTGCCATCACCGGTACAGGCCGAGGCTGCTTGGAAGCCAAGGAGCAACACCACGCCACTCAACAGGCCAATTAGTCTGGCCATGATTTCCGAATATTTTTTATTTTTTAAATCAATTTTTTTTAGACAGTTTTTACTGTCTTTATTTCAAAATTATTACTGCCATTTGCCGAGACAATGCATGGGGTTTTTAATAAATTTCCCTCAGGTGTTCATGCCTCAATTAGCCTAAGTTTTTCCTTTTGTTTTTTTTTTTTCAGATTTTTTTCTGATATTTTTTTCTAATTTTTTTTCTCAATCCTCAAGTGCCAATTCAAATATTTGGTACTTTGTTTTGAATTGCCACTAGAAGCAATTTTCAATTTGTTTTCCTTCTTCTTGTTGTTGTTCTCGATTTTCTTACTCATTAAGCTGCGGAATTTGCTTTCTGAGATTTGTTTTTATTTTTTTTGTCTTTTTTTTTGCGATTTTCTCTCTTTGTATTTAATTGATTCTTATCACCCGTTTTGTTTACATTTTTCTTTTGATTCGAGTGGCATTTGGTTGCATTTGTTTGATTTGCTTTGTGTGCTGCTCTGCTGATGCCCCCGGGGTGCAAGTATTTAATTGAGCATGCAATTTGCAATAGCTTTACAGTGGGTGGGGAGGAGTAGCAATGAGGGAGTGGGAATGAAAAATTAAAAAAAAAATATTTTTTTTGTGAGATTTAAAAAATGATTTTTAGAATCGAAAATATTGTTCAATCTATTTTTTATTATTTTGAAAATCACGTTTTCTGCAGGTTATTAGAAAAATCTTCTTAAGAAAAATTCCTAGTTTCAATAGAGCTTAAAAAAATATTTTTATAATTTCACTCTTGATATTGGACCCTGGGAAAATTTAATTTAAATCCATCATATGGATTTTTCCTCAAAAAAAAAAAATAAATAAATAAAATAAATAAATAAATAAAAATAAATAAATAAATAAACATTTGTGTACGCATTTTTAAGGATTTTTTAAATAAATAATAAATTTTGAAATAAAAAAAATATTTTTGGAATTAGCTAAAAAATATTTTGAATCAGTTTTGATTATTTTTAAAATCAGGATTTCTGCAGGATATCAAAAAGATCTTCTTTAAAAAGAAATATGAAAATTAAATTAAATTAAAAAAAAATTGATTTTTGGAATTATTTCAAAAATATTTTTTAATCCATGTTTCTGTCGGACATAAACAAATCTTCTTTAGGAAAACTCACAGTTTTAATAGAGCTAAAAAAATGTTTTTTTTTTAATTCCATGCTTTTCATTGGAACTTGAAAAAAAAAAAAATAATTAATTAAAAAAAACTGTCAATTAATTTTCTAAGGGCATTGAATTTTTTTCACAATTTCTAGAAGTCCATTGAAAAATTATTTTCACGTTTTGTGATCTTCAGGTAACCTCTAGAAATTCTTTAAAAAATCGACAATTTCTGGCCTTTAGGTGGCCTCTAAAAATTCTTTAAAAAAAGCCACGTTTTGTGGTTTTTAGTTGGGCTCTAAAAATTAGTTAAAAAATCAACGTGTTCTGGTCTTTAAGTGGCCTCTAAAAATTCTTTAAAAAATATACGATTTCTGGTTCAAATAACGCCTCTAAAAATTCTTTAAAAAATCCACGTTTTATGGGTTGTAGGTGGCCTCTAAAAATTTTTTAAAAAATCCACGTTTTATGGGTTGTAGGTGGCCTCTAAAAATTCTTTAAAAATCTTCGTTTCGTGGTCTTTAGGTAACGTCTTAAATTTCTTTAAAAATCCACGTTTTCTGGTCTTTAGGGGGTCTTTGAAAATTCTTTAAAAAATCCACGGTTTCTGACCTCTAAAAATTCTTTAAAAAATTCACGGTCTCTGGCCTCTAAAAATTCTTCAAAAAAATTCACGGTCTCTGGCCTCTAAAAATTCTTCAAAAAAATTCACGGTCTCTGGCCTATAAAAAATCCACGTTTTGTGCTCTTTAGGTGACCTCTTAAAAAATTTTAATAATCGACAATTTCTGGTCTTTAGGTGGTCCCTAAAAATTCGTTAAAAAATCCAAGTTTTGTGGTTCTCAGGTTACCTTTAAAAATTCTTTTAAAAATCCACGTATTTTGGACTTTTGGTGGCTTCTAAAAATGAAAAAAAAAAAAAAATAATCAAAAAATCCGGGATTTCTGTCCTCTAGAAATTCTCTAAAATGTTAACCGTTTTTAGCCTCTAGAAATTTAAAAAAAATTCACGTTTTGTGGTTTTTAGGTTCTCGTTTTTAGCCTCTAGAAATTAAAAAAGTACATTTTCTGGTTTTTACCTAAAATTTCCTAAAATTTCTTTAAAAAAAATCTACGTTTTGTGGTTTTTAGGTGGTCTCTAAAAATTCCTTAAAAAATCCACGTCTTGGGGTCCTCAGGTAGTCTCTAAAAACTCTTTAAAATATCCAAGTTTTGTAGTCTTTAGGTAACGTCTTAAAATTCTTTAAAAATCCACGTTTTCTGATCTTTAGAGGGTCTTTGAAAATTCTTTAAAAAATCCAAGGTTTCTGACCTCTAAGAGTTCTTTAAAAATCCACGGTACGGCACGGCCTCTAAAAATTCCAAAAAATCCACGGTTTCTGACCTCTAAAAATTCTTAAAAAATTCACGGTCTCTGGCCTCTAAAAATTCTTCAAAAAAATTCACGGTCTCTGGCCTATAAAAAATCCACGTTTTGTGCTCTTTAGGTGACCTCTTAAAAATTTTTAATAATCGACAATTTCTGGTCTTTAGGTGTCCCCTTAAAATTCGTTAAAGAATCCATGTTTTGTGGTTTTCAGGTTACCTCTAAAAATTCTTTAAAAAATCCACGTATTTTGGACTTTTGGTGGCTTCTAAAAATGAAAAAAAAAAAAATTAGTCAAAAAATCCAGGATTTCTGTTCTCTAGAATTTCGTTAAAATGTAAAACGTTTTTAGCCTCTAGAAATTTAAAAAAAATCACATTTTCTGGTTTTTAGGTGGCCCCCAAAAATTCTTTGAAAACTCAAGACGTGGAGGTAGCCATTCATTCATCATTCATCAGGTAGCCTCTAAAACTCCTTAAAAAATCCAAGTTTCGTGGCCTTTAGATGGTCTCTAAAAATTCTTTAAAAAATCCACGTTTTGTGGTCCTTAGGTGGCCTTTAACAATTCATAAAAAAATCCACAACTTCTGGCCTTAAGGTGGCCTCGAAAAAATCCTAAAAAGAGCAAGGCTTCTTTTTTTGGTGGCTTCTAAAAATAAAAAAATAAAAATTACTCAAAAAATCCAGGGTTTTTGTCCTCTAGAAATTCTTTAAAATGTAAAACGTTTTTTAGCGTCTAGAAAAAATCACATTTTCTGGCTTTTAGGTGGCCCCTAAAATTTCTTTAAAAATATACGTTTTGTGGTGTTTAGATGACCTCTAAAATTTGTTTAAAAAATCCACGGTTAGGTAACCACTGAAAATTCTTTAAAAAAATCCATGTTTTGTGACCTCTAAGAATACATTAAAAAATCCACGTTTTACGGTTTTCAGGTGACCTCTAATTTTTTTTTTTTTAAATAAACATTTGGTGGTCTTCAGGTGACCTCTAAAAATTCTTCAAAAAATCCACCTTTTGTGGTCTTTAGTTGGCCTCTAAAAATTCTTTAAAAAATGCACGTTTTATGGTCTTTAGATGGCATCAAAAATTTCTTAAAAATCCACGTCTTGTGTTCCTTAGGTAGCCTCTAAAAATTCTTTAAGAATCTACTTTTGTGGTCTTTAGGTTGCCATTACCAATTCATAAAAAATCCACGATTTCTGGTCTTAAGGTGGCCTCTAAAAATTCACAAAAAAAAAAAAACAATCAGGATTCTGGTTTTTAGGTGTCCTATAGAAATCCTTTAAAAAATCCACGTTTTCTAGTCTTTAGATGGCATTAAAAATTCTTTAAAAATCCACGTTTTCTGGTCTATAAAAATTCGGTAAAAAAAACAAGTTTTCTGGTCTTTAAAAATTCTTTAAAAAATCAAAGTTTTCTGGTCTTCAAAAATTCTTTAAAAAAATTATGTTTTCTGGTCTCTAAACATTCATTTAGAAAATCCATATTTTGTGGCTTCTAAAAATTGTTTAAAAAATCCACGAAATTTTTTTGGGGATATTACAAATTTGTTATTATTAAATTCATTTTTTGTCTTACCATGTTTTACCTCGTTGTAGCAATTATCAACGATTTTGAATTATCTTAATCAGAAACTACCAACTGTTTGTCAGTCAGCCATTCAAAATTCTATTTGAATATGTTCGCACATACAAACACTTTTGGGGTGACCTGAGAAATTCATTCATATTTCGTATCAGTGATGTGGAAGATTTTAATTGTTCCGTAGAGAGGTGTGCATTTTGTGTAGCACTGCGTTTAATGTACAACTCTCATAGAAATTACAAAAAGAAAAATAAACAACAACAACAAATTAAAAAAGGTATAATTACATAACTTGAGTAACAGGTCTGGAAGTGTATTTAATGGGTGTTAAAAGAGAAGCTAATACCTAGAAATATTTTTTTTTATGAAACTATTACCGGGACTTTCGAGTCCAACTTTGAAATTTATATTAAAGTTGATAGCTGAAGTCTGAAGTTTTATCAACTTTGAAATTTTTGACTAAATTTTGAAATTTGATCAGATATTGGAATTTTTATAAAATTCTGAAATTTTTATCAAAATTTTGAAATTTTATAAAATTCTAAGTTTTATGAAATTTTAAAATTTTTGAGCAAATTTTGAAATTTGATCAAATATTGAAATTTGTATCAAATTTTAAGGGATTTTTTTCAAAGTTTGAAATTCTATCAAAATTTTTAAGTTTTATGATATTTTGAAACTTTAAATATTTGTTTCTCAAAATTTGAGTTGTAGCAAATTTGGAAGACTATGTTTCCCATAGCTTTCTAAAAACTATCAAATACTTCTTCTTCCCATTAGCCTGAGATTAAACTGCCATCGACTATGTTTTCTTTTACAAATGTGTACGTGGTACTTCGTTCGATTCAATTTCATATTTTCAAGTGCATGGGTTGATAAAATTTCCTATAAGGACAAGTTAGTTTTTATTTACACACTTAGAGTGCTACAAACCGACCTTACTTAACAAATGGCGTTTACACTACAAAATTCAGTAAAAGGCAGTTTTATCTACCCGGAACTAGATGAGTAAGGAAGATAGGGGAATAGTGTTTTTGCGTCATATTATTCTTAGTTTTTTCTTTTTTTTTTGTTATTGGGCATTTTGGTGGACTTTAAAAATTCTTTAAAAAAATCCAGGTTTCGTGAACTTTAGGTCGTCTCAAACTATTTTTCAAAAAAATGCGCTTTTGTCGTCTTTAAGTGGCCTCTAAAAATTCTTAAAAAAATCCATGTTTTCTGGTCTTTAGGTGGCCTCTTAAAATTCTTTTAAAAACTCAAGATTTGAAGTCTTTAGGTGGCATCTAAAAATTCTTTAAAAATCCATGCTTTCAGGTCTTTAGGTGGCCTCAAAAAATTCTTAAAAAATCAACGTTTGGTGGCCTCTAAAAATTCTTTAAAAATCCACGCTTCGAGGTCTTTAGGTGGCCTCTAAAAATTCTTAAAAAACCAACGTTTGGTGGCCTCTAAAAATTCTTTAAAAATCGACGCTTCGAGGTCTTTAGGTGGCCTCTAAAAATTCTTTAACAAATCCATGTTTTTGGGTCTTTAGGTGGCATCTAAAAATTCTTTACAAATCCATGTTTTTGGGTCTTTAGGTGGCCTCTAAAAATTTTTTAAAAATCCACGCTTCGAGGTTTTTAGTTGGCCCCTTAAAATGCTTCAAAAAATCCTCGTTTTCTGGTCTTTGGGTGGCCTTTAAAAAATCCACGTTCTCTGGTCTTTATGTGACCTTTTAAAATTCTTTAAAAAAATCCACATTTTGTGGTCCTTAGCTGGCCTCTAAAAATTCTTTAAAAAATCTACGTTTTCTGGTCTTTAGATGGCCTCTAAAAATTCTTTAAAAATCTACGTTTTCTGGTCTTCAGGTGGCCTCTTAAAATTCTTAAAAAAAACACGTTTTCTGGTCTTTAGATGGCCTTTGAGCATTCTTTAAAAAATCCAAGTTTAGTGGCCTCTACAAATTTTCGTTAAAAAATCCACGTTTTCTGGTCTTTAAATGGCGTTTGAAAATTCTTTAAAAAATCCACGTTTTCTGGTCTTTAAATGGCGTTTGAAAATTCTTTAAAAAATCCACGTTTTCTGGTCTTTAAATGGCCTTTGAAAATTCTTTCTCTGGTCTTTGAAGGCCACGCTTCGAGGTCTTTAGGTGGCCTCTAAAAATTCTTTAAAAAATCCACGTTTTCTGGTCTTTAAATGGCCTTTGAAAATTCTTTCTCCGGTCTTTGAAGGCCACGCTTCGAGGTCTTTAGGCGGCCTCTGAAAATTCTTTAAAAATCCACGCTTCAAAGTCTAAAAATTTATAAAAAAATCCAGGTTTGGTGGCCTCTAATTTTTTTTTAAATTCACGCTTTGAGTTCTTTACGTTGCCTCTAAAAATTCTTATAAAATCCACGTTTGATGGCCTCTAAAAATTCTTAAAAAATCCACGTTTTATAGCCTCTAAATTTTTTTTAAAAAATCCACGTTTGATAACCTCTAAAAATTCTTTAAAAAATCAACGTTTGATGACCTCTAAAAATTCTTAAAAAAATCCACGTTTTATAGCCTCTAAATTTTTTTTAAAAAATCCACGTTTGATAACCTCTAAAAATTCTTTAAAAAATCCACGTTTGATGGCCTCTAAAAATTCTTTAAAAAATCAACGTTTGATGACCTCTAAAAATTCTTTAAAAAATCCACGTTTGATGGCCTCTAAAAATTCTTTTAAAAATCCAGGTGTGGTGGTCTCTAAAAATTCTTTAAAAAATCCACGTTTTCTTATTTTTAGATGGCCTCTAAGAATCCTTTAAAAAATCCACGTTTAATGGCCTCTAAAAATTCTTTAAAATTTCACGTTGTCTTTCCAGGGTAACCTTTAAAATTTCTTTAAAAATTTAATTTTTCTGTTCTTTAGGAGGCTTTTAAAAAATTCTCTAAGTAACGCCTTAAAGTAGGCTTTAATTTTTTAAATTACTTTTGGGAAAGACTTAACTGAGGGAAAATATATATTTTTGGGTCAGCAAAAGACGTTTTAAAATATTTAAATATTTTTTTTATTTCTAAAACTAGTTTTTATAGATATCTGTTTATATAAGCAAACATTATTCCTTAAAATTAATTAAAAATAATATATTTAAAATATGATGTGGGCGTTTAGATCGACTCCACAATAATGGCCTCATTGCCACTCAAATAGACATTGTCGAGGGAAATTTCATATCTAAAAAAATAGAAAAATATATATTTATTAATTTTTTAATAAAAAAATAATATAAAAAAATTATTTGCTAAAACTTACCCCTCTTTCCTGTTTGAAATAATGTTTACAATTTTTACTTTAAATTTCCCGCTGGCCTTAATAACATCTGTCACATCAACGGTCTTGGCATGGCCCGAAACATTGGCCAGTAAAATGTAGGTCTTTTCACCGGGTAAAGACCTGAAAATACAAAAATATAAAAATAAGAAAATAAATTTAAAACCCCTTGAATAGGATTAGAATTCAAGAGATCCACTCACCTCTTTATGGCCAATATATTCTCGCCAACATTGCCATATTTCAGGCTGCCATATTGCAGCGTTCTGGTTTGTCGTAGCTCAGACATTTGTTTATAAACATTGAGATGACTTTTTGGTTTGGCTCTTTCCGTTTCAACATTTGTTACCAAATAGTAAGGATTTACCGGCAGCCAGGTACTTTCATTTGTAGAGAATCCAGCATTGGCCTCGGTACTCCACTGGAACGGGGTACGTTCCGGATCGCGGCTAAATTGATCATATGTTTCGGGATCGGCATTGCAGGCCGCTGGGTCAACACTCTCCTCCCATGAAAGGGGCGTGTCGATCATGCCAATTTCTTCACCCTGTTTTTGAAGGGGAAGAGAAATTTTCAAAAAAGTGGAATTAAATAAAAAATCCAAAAAAGTGCAAAATATATTTTTTCCTGATTTCAGTAAACGTGGATTTTTTAAAAAATATTTTTTTGAAGAAACTAACAGACGTGGATTTTTTTAAAAAAATATTTTTTGAAGAAACCAACAGACGTGGATTTTTTAAAAAATATTTTTTGAAGAAACCAACAGACGTGGATTTTTTAAAAAATATTTTTTAAAAAATCCCGCTGACGTGGATTTATTAAAAATTATTTTTTAAAAAATCCCACAGACGTGGATTTTTCAAAAATTATTTTTTATAAAATCCCACAGTCGTGGATTTTTTAAAAATTATTTTTTACAAAATCCCACAGTCGTGGATTTTTTAAAAATTATTTTTCACAAAATCCCACAGTCGTGGATTTTTTAAAAATTATTTTTTACAAAATCCCACAGTCGTGGATTTTTTAAAAATTATTTTTTACAAAATCCCACAGTCGTGGATTTTTTTAAAATAATTTTTTACAAAATCCCACAGTCGTGGATTTTTTAAAAATTATTTTTTGCAAAATCTCACAGACGTGGATTTTTTAAAAATTATTTTTTTACAAAATCCCATAGTCGTGGATTTTTTAAAAATTATTTTTTTACAAAATCTCACAGTCGTGGATTTTTTAAAAATTATTTTTTACAAAATCCCACAGTCGTGGATTTTTTAAAAATTATTTTTTACAAAATCCCACAGACGTGGATTTTTTAAAAAATATTTTTTAGAAAATCCCACAGACGTGGATTTTTTAAAAAATATTTTTTAGAAAATCCCACAGACGTGGATTTTTTAAAAATTATTTTTTAGAAAATCCCACAGACGTGGATTTTTTAAAAATTATTTTTTGAAGACACCAACAGACGTGGATTTTTTAAAAAAATATTTTTTGAAGAAACCGACAGAAGTGGATTTATTTAAAAATATTTTTTGAAGAAACCAGCAGACTTGGATTTTTCAAAAATATTTTTTGAAGAAATCAACAGACGTGGATTTTTTAAAAAATATTTTTTGAAGAAATCAACAGACGTGGATTTTTTAAAAAATATTTTTTTCGAAGAAATCAACAGACGTGGATTTTTTAAAAAATATTTTTTGAAGAAACCAACAGACGTGGATATTTTAAAAAATATTTTTTGAAGAAACCAACAGACGTGGATTTTTTAAAAAATATTTTTTGAAGAAATCAACAGACGTGGATTTTTTAAAAAATATTTTTTGAAGAAACCAACAGACGTGGATTTTTTAAAAAATATTTTTTGAAGAAACCAACAGACGTGGATTTTTTAAAAAATATTTTTTGAAGAAACCAACAGACGTGGATTTTTTAAAAAATATTTTTTGAAGAAACCAACAGACGTGGATTTTTAAAAAATATTTTTTGAAGAAATCAACAGACGTGGATTTTTTAAAAAATATTTTTTGAAGAAATCAACAAACGTGGATTTTTTAAAAAATATTTTTTGAAGAAATCAACAGACGTGGATTTTTTAAAAAATATTTTTTGAAGAAATCAACAGACGTGGATTTTTTAAAAAATATTTTTTGAAGAAACCAACAGACGTGGATATTTTAAAAAATATTTTTTTAAAGAAACCAACAGACGTGGATTTTTTAAAAAATATTTTTTGAAGAAATCAACAGACGTGTATTTTTTAAAAAATATTTTTTGAAGAAACCAACAGACGTGGATTTTTTAAAAAATATTTTTTGAAGAAACCAACAGACGTGGATTTTTTAAAAAATATTTTTTGAAGAAACCAACAGACGTGGATTTTTTAAAAAATATTTTTTGAAGAAACCAACAGACGTGGATTTTTAAAAAATATTTTTTGAAGAAACCAACAGACGTGGATTTTTAAAAAATATTTTTTGAAGAAACCAACAGACGTGGATTTTTAAAAAATATTTTTTGAAGAAACCAACAGACGTGGATTTTTAAAAAATATTTTTTGAAGAAACCAACAGACGTGGATTTTTAAAAAATATTTTTTGAAGAAACCAACAGACGTGGATTTTTAAAAAATATTTTTTGAAGAAACCAACAGACGTGGATTTTTAAAAAATATTTTTTGAAGAAACCAACAGACGTGGATTTTTAAAAAATATTTTTTGAAGAAACCAACAGACGTGGATTTTTAAAAAATATTTTTTGAAGAAACCAACAGATTTAAAAAAAATAATATTTTTTTTTAAGAAACCAACAGACGTGGATTTTTAAAAAATATTTTTTAAGAAACCAACTGACGTGGATTTTTTAAAAATTATTTTTTACAAAGTCCCACAGTCGTGGATTTTTTAAAAATTATTTTTTACAAAATCCCACAGTCGTGGATTTTTTAAAAATTATTTTTTTACAAATCCACAGTCGTGGATTTTTTAAAAATTATTTTTTACAAAATGCCACAGTCGTGGATTTTTTAAAATTATTTTTTACAAAATCCTAAAGTCGTGGATTTTTTAAAATTATTTTTTACAAAATCCTAAAGTCGTGGATTTTTTAAAATTATTTTTACAAAATCCTACAGTCGTGGATTTTTTTAAAATTATTTTTTAGAAAAACCCCCTGATGTGGATTTTTAAAAATTATTTTTTAGAAAAACCCCCGGATGTGGATTTTTTAAAAATTATTTTTTAGAAAAACCCCCGGATGTGGATTTTTTAAAAATTATTTTTTACAAATCCGCAGTCGTGGATTTTTAAAAAATAATTTTTTTACAAAATCCCACAGACGTGGATTTTTAAAAAATAATTATTTTACAAAATCCCACAGACGTGGATTTTTTAAAAATAATTTTTTTACAAAATCCCACAGACGTTGATTTTTTAAAAATTATTTTTTCTAGATTCCTAAAGGTTCCCTATCTTACCATGTAGGTGACACTTGCTCCTGGTAAAAACATCTGCAGCATATTCATGAGATCAATGCGTTTATCGCCATAGCGGGTGCCGACACGGCTTCTGTCATGATTTCCCATCTGAAATTTAGGGATAGAGAAAATGGGAAATTTTAGAATATTTCCCAAACATTTTCTAGGGCCTCATATCTTTTCTGGAAACCCTTGGAAAATTTACTCACCACCCAATTTGCGGTCTTTCCTGCCGGCATATTATCCATCCATTTCCCAATGATATTCACAAAACCATCTGCCCCCAAATCTGTGTTATCCAGATCCGCATGGCCCCCAGCAATAAATTGAAAATTAAATGGAATTTGGGCTCCCTGCCTGGTTCGATTGCCATATAATTTCATGACCTCATTAATGTTGGACCAAGTTTCAATCATAAGGACCCTGGTCTCACCACCATGTATCCTTTGATAATCATCCAGCAGCTGACGCCATTGATAGACCATATCAATGGTTTCCGGTTGATCCTGGGTATAGATATGCGATAAATAATCAAAATTCAACGGGTCATCAGGATAAAGGCCCGACAGAGGTTCATCGGGGTATAGACCCGTTGTGGCATTTGGCAAGACTTCAAACATCCAGGGTACGGCGTCAACACGAAAACCAGCCACCCCACGATCCAACCAATAGGTGAGGACCCTTTTCATTTGGGCCACCACATCGGGATTACGATAATTCAGATCGGGTTGCTTCACTGCAAATTGATGTAGATAGTATTGCTGTCTCTTTTCATTCCATTCCCAGGCACTGCCCCGAAAGGCCTGCAACCAATTACTGGGTGGCTGTCTTTGTCCATTTTCATCCACATAGCCATCATGCCAGACATAGTAATCCTCATAGCCCTTCTCCCGATTCACCGACTTCTGGAACCACACATTCTCATCACTCGAATGATTCGGCACAAAATCCATAATGATTTTCAGACCCAATTTATTGGCCTCCTTGATAAGTTCATCAAAATCCTCCAGGCTACCATATTCCGGTTGGATGTCAAAGAAATTGGCAATGTCATAACCAAAATCGGCCATGGGCGAGACATAGATGGGTGAAAGCCAGGTGGCATTTACCCCAATCTCCTTCAAATAGCTGAGTTTGGAAATAATACCCTTCAAGTCACCAATGCCATCTCCATTGGAGTCCTTAAAGGATCTGGGATAGATTTGATAGAATTGCGACACCTGCCACCAATCTTTTTCGGGGGTGCTGGATGTGGAAATTCCTCCAGGGCCTGTACAGCCCTCAATTTCCAGGAGTATTTTTAGCAAGGATATTAGGCAAATGAAATATCCTTGATATTCCATTTTGTATTTTTTGATAGATTTTTTTGAAAAATTGTGTTTAGAATTTTAAAACTTTCTTCAACTATTGTCCACTTTCAACTGCCATTGAAGTTGTTATTGTGCAAGGTTTTTAAAAATTTAATTCCCTCGTTTTTCTAAATTTTCCATATCTCAAGTACCACAGTTCGATGACTAACCTACGTCAAAAAATGCCCGGTCGTTTCCCCCTGGTCTTGTGAGGTGCATATCTGTAAATAATGATGTTACATTACAACTTATCAAGGTTGCCAGATTCCGACCAAAAACAATTTTTATAATAATTATTTTTTCATGATTTCAATGAACGTGGATTTTTTAAAAATTACTTTTTCATGATTTCACTATAAGTGGATTTTTTATAATTTTTTTTTATGATTTCAATAGACGTGGATTTTTTAAAAATTATTTTTTCATGATTTCAATAAACGTGGATTTTTTAAAAATTATTTTTTCATGATTTAAATAGACGTGGATTTTTTAAAAATTATTTTTTCATGATTTCAATAGACGTGGATTTTTTAAAAATTATTTTTTTCTTGATTTCAATAGACGTGGATTTTTTAAAAAATATTTTTTCATAACTGCAATAGACGTGGATTTTTTAAAAAATATTTTTTCATTATTGCAATAGACGTGGATTTTTTAAAAATTATTTTTTCATGAACGTGGATTTTTTAAAAATTATTTTTTCATGATTTCAATAGACGTGGATTTTTTAAAAATTATTTTTTCATGATTTAAATATACGTGGATTTTTTAAAAATTATTTTTTCATGATTTCAATAGACGTGGATTTTTTAAAAATTATTTTTTTCTTGATTTCAATAGACGTGGATTTTTTAAAAAATATTTTTTCATAATTGCAATAGACGTGGATTTTTTAAAAAATATTTTTTCATTATTGCAATAGACGTGGATTTTTTAAAAATTATTTTTTCATGAACGTGGATTTTTTAAAAATTATTTTTTCATAATTGCAATAGACGTGGATTTTTTAAAAATTATTTTTTCATAATTGCAATAGACGTGGATTTTTTAAAAATTATTTTTTCATAATTGCAATAGACGTGGATTTTTTAAAAATTATTTTTTCATAATTGCAATAGACGTGGATTTTTTAAAAATTATTTTTTCATGATTCCAATAGACGTGGATTTTTTAAAAATTATTTTTTCATGATTCCAATAGACGTGGATTTTTTAAAAATTATTTTTTCATGATTGCAATAGACGTGGATTTTTAAAAAAAAATTTTTTTCATGATTTCAATAGACGTGGATTTTTTAAAATATATTTTTCATGATTTCAATAGACGTGGATTTTTTAAAAATTATTTTTTTCTTGATTTCAATAGACGTGGATTTTTTAAAATATATTTTTCATGATTACAATAGACGTGGATTTTTTAAAAATTATTTTTTCATGATTTCAATAGACGTGGATTTTTTAAAAATTATTTTTTTCATGATTTCAATAGACGTGGATTTTTTAAAAATTATTTTTTTCTTGATTTCAATAGACGTGGATTTTTTAAAATATATTTTTCATGATTTCAATAGACGTGGATTTTTTAAAAATTATTTTTTCATGATTTCAATAGACGTGGATTTTCTAAAAATTATTTTTTCATGATTCCAATAGACGTGGATTTTTTTAAAAATTATTTTTTCGTGATTCCAATAGACGTGGATTTTTTAAAAATTATTTTTTCATTATTGCAATAGACGTGGATTTTTTAAAAATTATTTTTTCATTATTGCAATAGACGTGGATTTTTAAAAATTATTTTTTCATAATTGCAAAAGACGTGGATTTTTAAAAATTATTTTTTCATAATTGCATTAGACGTGGATTTTTAAAAATTATTTTTTCCCAATTGCAATAGACGTGGATTTTTTAAAAATTATTTTTTCCCAATTGCAATAGACGAGGATTTTTTAAAAATTATTTTTTCCCAATTGCAATAGACGTGGATTTTTTAAAAATTATTTTTTCATGATTGCAATAGAAGTGGATTTTTTAAAAATTATTTTTTCCCAATTGCAATAGACGTGGATTTTTTAAAAATTATTTTTTCATGATTGCAATAGAAGTGGATTTTTTAAAAATTATTTTTTCCCAATTGCAATAGACGTGGATTTTTTAAAAATTATTTTTTCATGATTGCAATAGAAGTGGATTTTTTAAAAATTATTTTTTCCCAATTGCAATAGACGTGGATTTTTTAAAAATTATTTTTTCATGATTGCAATAGAAGTGGATTTTTTTAAAATTATTATTTCATGATCCACAAACGTGGATTCTTTAATAATTATTTATTCATGATTTCATTAAACGTGGATTTTTTTAAAATTATTTTTTCATGATTTCATTAAATGTGGATTTTTTAATAATTATTTTTTCATGATTGCAATAGACGTGGATTTTTTAAAAATTATTTTTTTATGATTGTAATAAACGTGAATTTTTTTAAAAATTATTTTTTTATGATTGCAATAGACGTGGATTTTTTAAAAATTATTTTAAAAATTATTTTTTCATGATTGCAATAGATGTGGATTTTTTAATAATTAGTTTTTCATGATTGCAATGGATGTGGATTTTTTAAAAATTATTATTTTCATGATTGCAATAGACGTGGATTTTTTAAAGGTTATTTTTTCATGATTGCAATAGACGTGGATTTTTTAAAAATTATTTTTTTCCATGATTTCGATAAACGTGGATTTTTTAAAAATTATTTTTTCATGATTTCTATGAACGTGGATTTTTTAAAAATTATTTTTTTCTTGATTTCAATAGACGTGGATTTTTTAAAATATATTTTTCATGATTTCAATAGACGTGGATTTTTTAAAAATTATTTTTTCATGATTTCAATAGACGTGGATTTTCTAAAAATTATTTTTTCATGATTTCAATGGACGTGGATTTTTAAATAATTATTTTTTCATGATATCAATGAACGTGGATTTTTTAAAAATTATTTTTCCAAGATTTCAATAAACGTGGATTTTTTAAAAATTATTGTTTTCATGATTGCAATAGACGTGGATTTTTGAAAAATTATTTTTCGAAGATTTCAATAAACGTGGATTATTTAATATTATTTTTTTCATAATTGCAATAGACGTGGATTTTTTAAAAATTATTTTTTTTTTCATAATTGCAATAGATGTGGATTTTTTAAAAATTATTTTTTTTCATAATTGCAATAGATGTGGATTTTTTAAAAATTATTTTTTCATGATTTCAATAGACGTGGATTTTTTAAAAATTATTTTTTCATGATTTCTATGAACTTGGATTTTTTAAAAATTATTTTTTCATGATTTCTATGAACTTGGATTTTTTAAAAATTATTTTTTATTGATTTCAATAGACGAGGATTTTTTAAAAATTATTTTCTTAATGATTTTAATGAACGTGGATTTTTTAAAAATTATTTTTTCATAATTGCAATAGACGTGGATTTTTTAAAAATTATTTTTTCATAATTGCAATAGACGTGGATTTTTTCAAAATTATTTTTTATGATTGCAATAGACGTGGATTTTTTAAAAATTATTTTTTCATAATTGCAATAGACGTGGATTTTTTAAAAATTATTTTTTCATAATTGCAATAGACGTGGATTTTTTAAAAATTATTTTTTCATAATTGCAATAGACGTGGATTTTTTAAAAATTATTTTTTCATAATTGCAATAGACGTGGATTTTTTAAAAATTATTTTTTCATAATTGCAATAGACGTGGATTTTTTAAAAATTATTTTTTCATAATTGCAATAGACGTGGATTTTTTAAAAATTATTTTTTCATAATTGCAATAGACGTGGATTTTTTAAAAATTATTTTTTCATAATTGCAATAGACGTGGATTTTTTAAAAATTATTTTTTCATAATTGCAATAGACGTGGATTTTTTAAAAATTATTTTTTCATAATTGCAATAGACGTGGATTTTTTAAAAATTATTTTTTCATAATTGCAATAGACGTGGATTTTTTAAAAATTATTTTTTCATAATTGCAATATACGTGGATTTTTTAAAAATTATTTTTTCATAATTGCAATAGACGTGGATTTTTTAAAAATTATTTTTTCATAATTGCAATATACGTGGATTTTTTAAAAATTATTTTTTCATAATTGCAATAGACGTGGATTTTTTAAAAATTATTTTTCATAATTGCAATAGACGTGGATTTTTTAAAAATTATTTTTTCATAATTGCAATAGACGTGGATTTTTTAAAAATTACTTTTTCATAATTGCAATAGACGTGGATTTTTTAAAAATTATTTTTCATAATTGCAATAGACGTGGATTTTTTAAAAATTATTTTTTCATAATTGCAATAGACGTGGATTTTTTAAAAATTATTTTTTTCATGATTTCAATAGACGAGGATTTTTTAAAAATTATTTTTTCATAATTGCAATAGACGTGGATTTTTTAAAAATTATTTTTTTCATGATTTCAATAGACGAGGATTTTTTAAAAATTATTTTTTCATAATTGCAATAGACGTGGATTTTTTAAAAATTATTTTTTTCATGATTTCAATAGACGAGGATTTTTTAAAAATTATTTTTTTCATGATTTCAATAGACGAGGATTTTTTAAAAATTATTATTTCATGATTGCAACAGATGTGGATTTTTTAAAAATTATTTTTTCATGATTTCAATAGACGTGGATTTTTTAAAAATTATTTTTTCGTGATTTCAATAGACTTGGATTTTTATACATATTTTAGTAAATATTTTAAAAAGATAAATTGTCCCATTAAATCGCGTATGCCCACCCATTTAGGCATATCTCTTTCTTCGCTTTGATCTATTGTTTATTTTCATTGTTTTCTTTTCTTTGCTTTCTGTCACCTATAATTTTCACCTAAGACAATTCGCTGATATAAATGTTTATTGTCTGACACCTTGTTAGAATAATCAGCAACACATGCTCCGGATTTCATATGTCTTCCAAGGAGCGAGAATAAATCAGGGAAAA